GGCCACAACAGCTTGAACTGCAGCACAAGAACCGCTTGCACGAAAAGGCGTGGTAGCAGTAGCAGTAGGAGGAGTAGGAGTAGGAGTAGGAGTAGGAGTAGGAGTAGGAGTAGGAGTAGGAGGAGGAGGAGGAGGAGGAGTAGGAGTAGGAGGAGGAGGAGTAGCAGGATACAGTACGATTCGTCACATCAACAGCAGTGCTCAATGCACGGCCAGGGCCTGTGGCATGTGCGCCGATCATGATCTGGGTTCCCCTCAGCACTCAGGCGCTCTGAAGTCTTCCGACCTCCATGATGCCATGTCGAAGATGCACATTGGGCCCTGGGCCCTTTGGCATGGTTTCGCTCGTTTCCCCGAGCGAAGCGCATCCTGCAGGCCCGGGTTTCCGCAGTCTTGAGATCAGCTGTCGAATTGAACACCTCTAGAGAAAAGCTTTAGCAGGATACGGCTGCGCCGCAACTCGCCTCCTGCGCGGCGGGTCAGCAAGAACCAAAAGCAAGCAGAAAGACAATAGTGGAATCATGCCTGGTGGCGGTTCTAAACGAAGAGCCATAGCAATAATAACAGTAATAACCACAATGGTGATAATAACAGCTGCATGCCTACCGAACGACACGATGTGAGGCATCCCGGTCTCCCGGGGGTCGCTGCTGTCACACCACTAGGGGGGCCCACGAACATCGCAAGCCCGAACGAAGACCCTGGCCCTGATAACCCATGTCCTGAAGGTCAGCTTGAAGTTGGGATCGATCTGCACAGGACGTTTCGGGAGCCCAAAGCTGCTCAGCGCACTGGAGCATCGGACCCTGCAGGAGCCTGAAAGCTCAACCGTCAAAAACCCCAAAAACACTCCGGAAAGATTCCAAACTCCAAGCCTCCCACGCCCTGAAGTGCCCCTCAGGCCAGGGCCTCCGGATCGGAGAGGTTCAGGAAGGTCCACTCGCTGTGGTCCTTCAAGGCTCCCATGCAAGAGCTCGATTTTCGGGAGACCACACCCCATTGTGCCAGGAGCCCTCTGAAGAACCGAATCTCCGAAGGCCTTCCATGCGGGCTCGACCAACCTCTCGATGAAGCCGGCGCCTTAATCATGCATTGCTTGTTCTTTTTTGTGGCTTTTTGCAGCTGAGCGCACATTGCAACGGGTGTACCTAAAGCCCGGTTGCACCACAATGCGCATGAGTTTCTCCAGGTCAACCCTGCACTGCAGATGAATGTCAACTCTGACATTTTCTGCGCTTGCTGAGGTTCTGGCGCTCAGGACAACGCAAGCTGCTGTGTAGGTTCACGTGTTAGTGCGACGACTTGGCTGTTTACAAGCCTTCAGGGAAGCATCAGAAGCTTCTGAAGGTACCCCTTAGAAATTGCAGCCCATCCGAGGGACGCACGTCTTCGGCTGATCTCTCTGAGGGATGCCAGAGCTGGGCCATGCAGGACGGAAAGCAGTTGTCCTGGCTCAGCAGTGGCACAGAGATCTTTGCAGCCGGTTGCATTTCAGGACTTCTACACCTCTCAGAGGCGACCTGCAGAGGTATTGAAAAAGGAAGGCGATACCGTGTCTAGCACAGTTCTTGTGATGCCAATGCTGCGATGAACGCAGAGGCTGGCTAAGTCTCCTTCCGGCTGCTACTACAATGCCACAGTGGCGATTGATCCAATAATTGATAACTTCTCAGGTCGTTCTTGAAACTATCAACGTCGAACACTGCTACTATGATTGCTATCAGTACTAAGTTACTAAGCCTTCAAAATCAAAAGTCCAGCACGAGCAGTCTAAGACTTACTAAGACCTGCCATTGTGTCCGCATCATGCTGTCTTTCATGATGCTGATGGCTCGTGGGGAACATTAGCGCAACTCGAGCTCTCTGAAAGGCACCTCAGTCGGCCCCTAAAACATGGCCGGGCTGGCGGTTTCCATCCTCCTTAGCCTGCTTCTCGAGATTATCGAACAGCTGAATCGCCTGTGGACGGTGTGCTTTGGAGCTCAGGTTGCTTAAGGCGAAGAGAATGAAGCACTCTAGTGTATGAAGTGAAGCTGCTGCAGGAATCACCCGGGAATGTTTCAGAAGAGGACGAGCCGGCCTCAGACACCTCGCCCAACTGGCAATGTCTCTTCAGAGGCTCCAGAGCCTCCGAGTCCTCGAGCAAAGCGGGTTCACAAAACAAAGCAAAACATCGAAGCACAAAGAAGAACACGCATGTTGAAGAGGCCCGGTCTTTGACTAAGGCCGCTCTTTTGCATTCTACTACTAGCTGCTTTTCCCCATCGGTGCGGTTCCCTTCGAATACTTGCGTCAATCTGCAAAAACTTGCATATCTTGGACAGTTCTACAGGTGCGGACTCACCACGCCTGATGTTGGTCCGTGGTGTCGCAGATGTCCTCATTCAGAACTCAGGTCTAGGGCGTTGAAAGGTGTCGGCTTTCGGGCTTTGAACGCTTTGACGCACGCGAACGAGGTCGCCGGAGTTTTTGCTTGGACGGCTGCATAAACCGCGGGCACTGGCGGGTTGAGGAGTCCAACACGGACGAGCCCGACAAGCCTCATAGTCAGTGTCGCCCTGAAAGCGATTGAAGTCGCCCGTTTTGAGGCCACCAAAATGCGCGGGATGCGCGGGGGCAGCCGAGACGAATGGGAAGACGCTGCACACGCCAAAGTGCGCACAGGACCGTGGCGGGAGCACAGTGTCCGTTGTCAGGAAATTCTAGACTAAACGCGATGGTGGACCGCGAGAGCTGACTCGATGACCCCCTGTGAGTTGGACTTCATGTACCATGGGGTGGACATGGCTAGGCGGCTGGGCGGAGTTCGTCAGACAGTCCTCGTTGGCCACAGAGTATGGGATGGTCCGTGTCGAGGGCAGGGTGGTCGAGAGGTCCTCGGAGCAGTTGATGCAGTTTCAGCTAGGAGCCTCCAGACCTTCTGCGGCATGCGCGTTGAGTATCACCTGGTAGCACGACCATAACACTGTTTCTCCGCAGTAGCCCAAGCACCCGCAAATGTGGAGATCTCGCATGATGCCAGCAGTTGGGAAGATTGCTCAACCGCATTTCTCAATCCCTCTTATTGCGCCTAGTTCTAACGCTCTTGAAGCACGGCGAAGACTTCTTACAACCAGCATGCCCATTAACTCGAATGCCAAAGTGGCCGGGTCCCTGGGCCGTTCACTTTGCAACCTCCGCCACTACATCATCTTCTCCTCTGAGCAAGACCCCTCAGCCCCAGTAAAATCCTCGTTGGAGGTGGCATCAGGGTCGTCCTCCGCAGCGTCGCCCTGAGGCCATGATAGGGAGGTCTGACCTTGAGAATGCTCCTCGAACACTCAGCCCCGGCCTTGGGCACGAACTCCTGATGCGATGTCTGTTCCTGCAACTATGGCTTCAACGAAGTTCATCTGCTGCAAGCCGGTAGTCCTCTTAGGTCTTGAAGCTGGCCACTTCTTGGTGTGACGGCCGCAGATTGTGGCAGCTTGCTCCAGCCCTATAGCCCCGGTCCTGGTCCCGCAGGTCACAGGAGCAGTGCCTGAGATTGCCCAAGCAGTTTGTGGAAGCGGTGGGGTCTCCAACAGCTTAGAGATCCCAACAACCAGTCCGGATCCATGAATTCCTCATCCTCTATTCTCGGCAGCCCTAGAGATCCTCGACCCATCAGTGCCATCCTTACCTCAATGAGTCAAGCGCACCTACACGGCTTGCGGTCAGGAGGCTGGCCCATTCTCCAGCAGTCGACAGTGCCCTTGAAATAAAGAACGAAGGCGCCTGGATCAGAGACTGGACTCTTCGGTGTCGCTTCAGAGGTGAGGCCGGTGTCGCAGCAGCAATGAGAATGTTCTGCTTTGGGTATCCGGATCGAAAACCGCCCACATGACCCGCCTTGCGAAGAGAATCGAAAGCATGAGAACAGCACTACCGCTGCGGCGACATTGAAAGTCATTGAGACATGATCTTCTCTGCTCGTGTCGACACCACGCCCGCCCACCCAACCCCCCGGAAGTTTGATGGATTGGATTCGCATTCATACCTTGCCAACGACCTTGGAACTGTCAGCCGTCCCTGTCACCAATGACCAAGCCTGCTGCCAGAAGTATTACGAAACATTGCTAAGTATGTTTCCTTGCTTCCAGTTGCTGCTGGAACTTGCATCGGCATCCTGTGCACGGCCTGGCAGTGGTCCACTCTTTTACTCTGTAACAACCTGCAACTGCAATCAGGCCAAAGTTCCGCGCATGGATATCGAGGTACAAGGGATATGGGACTCTCGCACAACCGAGCCAGTTCCTATCCAGGTCCCTTAAGGCGGCGCCTCTGCCAGCTTCTTCCCGGCTGAGACGTCTTCCCTAAAGCTTGGGCCGAGCACTGCGACTGGCGAGAAGAAGCTCTTTTTCAGGCGATCGGTCGAACAGTCTAGGCGTCATGCATGGAACCCCGGCTTCTTGATCCAACGTCGCACCCGTGTCCTAAGCATCCGTGCTGCTGCTGCTGTCGCCGCTGGCAGCAACAGCACTGCTGAGACTAGTGTGCTTGACTGAGTTAGTGCTAGTGTTAGCAATTGTGCTGCTTGTGATTTCAACTGCCACTACTGTAGCAGGTGTCATGCTGATGAGGAGTCTGTCTGACTATAGCAGTCGTGGCTTGTGCAGTACCTTCGCTGTTGTGCAAGTCACTCGCGTGATGGTGACAAGCGTGGTAAAGCTAATGATTCCACCGACGGATAGAGCAATTGTCTTCCACGCCCAAAGGGCTGCTTCTCACGACAGACATGGCTTCAAACGCCGGGTCTCGAACACTTGAAATTGCCGGCAGCACGTGTCTAGACAAAAACAATACAACGGAATGATAGGCCTGATAGGCTCTAACTCTTGTTGCTGCTGATGGAAATACCACGTCACGATCAGTTCTGAACTTTACTTGATTATTGTAATGTTATATCTCACTGTTTCTGTGGAAATCATGTAATCAACTTTAGCACACAGACATAAACTCCCGACGCTTCGTCGTTGCGCCTGGCACGGCACCAAACTCTTGGACCTGGCGATAGACGGATTAAGGCTTGCGGGTTTAGGGGCTGCGCTAAACTAGAGTTTTACAGGCATATAATGGCGCAGTATAGTAGATGCTCGAATTTGCTGAGCTTGAGCGCGTGTTTGGGCTGAGGGCATTCACTGCACGAATCTGCCTAGCCGTCATTTTCGCATCGCGCGTTGCATAATATGTATGCTGCATGTTCTTGCGAATCGCTCCCTTCCCGGAGCAGGCTTGCACATGCAGCCTTGACCAAGCTAACTGGCCAAGTAGTGACTTGGGATTTCTGAAACTTTGCTAGGCTACTCCGATGTTCAGAAGAACTGTTCTAGTTGTTGTTCGCAGTATTATGGTACCGTGACTACTCTTGCTAGTTTTACGTGTTGACGGACCTTGACTCATTTCACGGCCGAGAAGCCTACCAGCAGTATTGCTGGTTGTAGGTCCGTGAAAGACTGATACTCTGAAAGTCTCATGATCTTTGGAGTCCACGCATTCCCTTCTGCCACCTGCGGCTCCTTTGCACAGATCTCTCACCTCGTGCTGAGTCGTTTGGGGGATTCTACAAACGAATTTGGTGAAAGGGTTAGTTGGGGCTTGTACCACTTGAAACAACTGGTCCCTGCACTCGCTTCTGGCAAGCCTGACGGCTCACTGGAGGCCCGCAGGCTATCACATCTTCGGCTGTTCCGGTGACATGCGAGTGCTGTACCTTTTTCACCTGTGAGGGAGCCTTGTCGTCCGCAAACCCCGGAGCTATCCTCGACTCAAGATGCACAGCGACATCATAGCAGGCAATCATTACCCTCCCCCCCCTCAAGAAAAACCGGTACCAAGCAGAACAGGAGCCGAGACCCGGGCCGCGTTCTGTTGGCTTCGGAGAAAAGTTCAGGCGGCGAGGCCGAGAAGGTCCCGGTGTGGCTGGCCAGAGCTTCTGTGTCTTTCTTTGCGTCATTCCTAAATCCCCAAACCCGAAACCCCAACACCTCTAAAAACGACTTGCGGACTCTTCAAAATCTTGTTGGGTCGCTGATCCTTCCACCGCAAGCGCATGCAAGCGCTTGTGAGGTTGTGGATGTACGCAGGCTGTTAGAGTGAATGACTGCCGGGATGACAGTGCTTACTGTGATTGTGATGGCTCTCATTTATGATTACGATGGTCATGAAGCTCATGAGGACTGGGGTCTTGATTCAGACTGCCACTGCATTCTCCATGGCGCTGGTCGCCAGATAAACACTAAGATCCCAGTAAGCAATGCCAGTGTCATTCTGTCTCGTACCAGGCTTCAACATGTCTGGCAAGTGGCTTCGGGCTGCAGCATCACGAGAGCCTTATAGCTGTGAGCACTTCTCAGTTCTCCCCGCAAATCAGTATGAGAAGCAAAGCCTGCGCCGGAAAGTGTAGAGGAGCCAGCGCCACAGGTCTCCCCATAACTCCACATTACACCAGCGAATGCAAAGCGCCAATCCGAATTGAGCTCGTGGGAGTGAGCATCCTTGTCCAGCCTTCTGCTTGCACCACGCAGTCGGGTATTAGCCTTGGCATGACCACGTTGTTGGCTCTAAATTAAAGGGCGGTGGACTCCACGATTGGCATCTGCCGCACGGTTTGTGAAGACGATTCCCTCATGCCACTGTAGACATGAGCAAAACCCAGACTCCGACACATTCTCCTGCTGTTGCATTCGACTTGCAACTCCGTGATGCCATGGGCTTGCCAGCTTGTCTGACCTAGATTAGAGTCGCAAGATCTGAATTAAGGCGAGTTGCGGTGAAGATCTCGCTGCCGAAGGAGCGCTGCGGATTGGTGCGGGGCCAGGATCTGCATGGGGCTGTAGCTTTGCAACATTGGGCTCTGTCAGCTGAGAACCCTCTCTTTAAAACGGGAAACACGAAGGAGCGCCTGTCGCCTGCAGCGCAGCTCGCGCGGCACCGATGGCCGCGATGCTGGCTGGTGCTGCATTGAGCTCCTCCGCATGCTACAGGCGACATGCAAGGTCTCATCTTGTTTAACGTCACATCAAGTCACTATATAAGTCATTCTACATCGCATTCAGCTAAATAGCTAAGCAGCTATGTACCTACCTACCCATGCATATGCGCGTACAAATGTATGTATAACAGTGCCTGTACCCGTCCATACAGATATGCGCGCTTTGTATTACTCCCGGCCCTCTAAGCCCAGTTCTCCTCTTCCACTGCCTCAGCACCACAGGCCGCCGCTGCACCGCGCAGGGCTCGGGCGGCGGCGGTGCGCAGCTGAGGGATGCATTTGCATACACATACATATGAAGCAGGTGCAAGTGTACTGGCTGGCTGTAGCCTGGTTGCTTGGGGGGCCGACGCTTCTAATTTTATTGGTTGGTTGTGCGTCTGCTTTGCAAAGAAAGTCTCACGCTTTGCTTCGGGTCGTGCCTTCGTCGGAGCCTTCTGTGCAGAGGTGTGACCCCTCTGGAAAGCTATGGAATGCTGCCCGACTGTTGCTGTGGCGCCACCATGTAACAGTCTGCACGACCAGTAGTGATTATTCAATTTCGTCTTCAGAACCAGGCTGCCTTCCCGAGAAACGAAGAAGTGATCAATGTGAGGGGTAACAAAAGTGTGGGTGAATGCTGTACAGACAAAACTCAATCCAGATGATGCAAATCTATAGTCATCTAACGGAATCAAGTGAAGCAGTGTCATTCAAGAACGTAATGAAACCGCATTTCTTCCACTTTTCTTCCGACTGATCTTCCGACTGAACATTTCCATTCCAGACAATGCACCCAGGACTGAAGACTCCTGGCTCTTCTGCGTTCCCCACCTCCCCAAAGTCACCTGACCTGACCGCTGACTGCTGGAAACTGAAGCAGTCTTCCAGCGACCAGGAGCCTGCGAGCTTGAATGTAAGCAGCAGGGCGCGGCCACCGCCAAAAGTTCCCCAAGTGCCTTCAAGCAACACCAAGACACATCCCACACAACACTGTCTCCAGGGGACTGCAAACCTAAACAAAATTCAACCACTGGGAATGGGAACATCCTTCCGACACTGTGCAAAAATGAACGATTCGCTTCTTGGTCGTCGTGGGACAATGCTTGACAACTGGTGCAAAGAAGTATATGAATGATCTGCATCCTTCACGGCACACGCGTGAGAACCAAACAGTATTTGACCAGTTCTTGAAACCTTTTCGTGCCTTGGGCTCTTGAGGATCCATGTGCCGGTGCCCAACTTCATGCTGACCCGCCCCAGATCCACATGCCGAGCCTTGATCGACCCTACTTCAAAAAATGCGACCATACTTATAGACTTTTAAACATGCAAGCCATTTGTATCGTTTTCTGCTCCTTGTACTGGTTCCACTCAAGCACACTGGACCACAAGACTTCGAGATTTTGCAGAACTTCATGTAACAGCACAGCGAAAATCACCACCCACCCCAAAGGCTTAGCGGTTAGCACGAACCATCAGCATCATCAGCATCAGCTGGGAAAGGTCTCCGGCATGACGGCACCTGGCACGAGGGAATCATAAGCATCATCAGCATCAGCTGGGAAACGTATCAGGTGTGACGACACCTGGCATGAGCATCATGAGCATCAGCTGGGAAACGTTCTCGTCCACATGAGTCAATAGCTCGAAGGCTTAGCAGGAAAGAAACACCGACTCAAGCATCATCAGCATCCGCTGGGAAACATCTCCAGTATAGCCACACCTGGCACGAGCATCATGAGCATCAGCTGGGATATATTCTCGTCCTCAGAAGATGGAACAAAGCAGCCATCCCAACATCATCAGCATCAGCCGGGAATCGCCTCCGGCATAACGACACCTGGCATGAGCATCATGAGCATCAGCTGGGAAAGGTTTTCGTCCTGAGGACAACCGATGCTTGTTACGCATCAGTGAAAAAAACCACGTACCCCAGCATCATCAGCATCAGCTGGGAAATGCCTACAGCATAATGCACCTAACATGAGCATCATGAGCATCAGGACGTGTGCTTGTCCTGAAGACAATCGATGCTGGCAGCGTGTGGATGGAACAAAAAATGGCCATCCAAACATCATCAGCATCAGCGGGGAATCGCCTCCGGCATTACGACACCTGGCACGAGCATCATGAGCATCAGCTGGGAAATGTTCTCGTCCTGAGGACAATCGATGCCGTCAGCTTGCGCATCAGTGTAGCGTAATGGCCACCACCCGAGCATCAGCGGCATCAGCTGAAAACTCCTCCATCATCACGACACTTGCCACGAGCATCATGAGCATCAGCTGGGAAACGTTCTCGTCCTGAGGGCAATCGATGCTGGGGAATGCCGGGAATGAGCATCATGAGCATCAGCGTGGAAATGCTCTCATCTTGAGGGCACTCGGTTCTCTGTTTTCCCCCCCCCCCCTCGCCGAATCCCGGCCGCGCTCGTAGCTGAGCCTCTTGACAAGAAGGACTTGCAAGCCCACGGGAAGATTGTTACGAGCATGGTGGGCGTCCTAAGGATAGTCGACGTTGACTTGAATGCCCCAAAGCTGGCAGCTGGCGAATAAACGGATTCTTGAGGCGCCGTGGCCGGCGAGGGTGTCAGTCGTTTCCACAGTCTTGTTATTTTTGGGCATGTGAAAGAACAGCCACGGCGGGATCGGATTGTTCTGCACAAGGGAGGCTGTCGCCAGCATCACGAGCATCAGCTGTCTCAAGAATCAACAGAACAAGGACACAAGCACACTGAGCATTCGCAGAATGCGGCTTGCTGGGATTCCTTCCCATGCAGTGCATGTGCATCCACGGAGCCGCACCTCCGAATCCGCTCCGGACATGTTGAGAACTCATGAGAACTCACGGCCTGCCGAGCTGCCGCGGCGTCGCTGGTCTCTGCGAGCTGTGGCCAAACCTCCTGCGGCACGGCTTGGACTGTGCAGGTTCCGGCTTTTTGACTAGGGGGTCTATACTATACTATACTATACTCGAGACAATTGAAAGGATATCCATGGCTCAAGCGCTGGGGAGCAAATACCAGCAACTCAACAAGGAGTCACGTCCGAATTGGTCCTCCGCCTTTCCAGGACGCTCAAAATCCCGCTCTCTGCCCCGCCGGGTCCTCCAGGGCCCGGAACACCTCCAAGAGCTGCCCTGAGCCCTGACAGGTGCTCGGCTGACTCCTATGAGTCTCGCGGCCCTAAACCCCCAAAATGGCGCGCTCCTTTGGTTGCAGCTTCCTTGCTCTGTCTGCCTCTCGCCGAAGAATCCGAAAGCCACAGAGCTTCCATGGCGCCTGGTCGACCATGCCTGAAAGACCCGGTGACCTTCGGCTGCCGCTGGAGGCCAAGATGGCCTCTGCGGGAACGCTACCAAACCCGCTTCTGAAGCTTCGAGCTCTCCGACAGCTCTGGAGCCCTTTCCGCCAAGAGACGAAAGCCGACTCTGGACAAGGGAGGCAGCTACCAGCTATCCATCCTCGACTCCTGACGCACGCCTGAACTCCGGAACCTCGCGAGGCCTGCATCAGCGCCCGCCAGGTAGCCCGAAAACCGCTCCAGCTCTGGCTGCTCATCTCAGCCAGCGCCACACGCGCCGCGCCTGCAAGCCACTGCAAGCCACTGCAAGCTGTCGCAAGCCGCTATATACGTTGAACTGCGTATAAAGTGCAACCCCTCATAACATGTTCGACGGATCTGAGGACCTCTATCCAGACATAGCAGTACTTCCGAAAACCCTAAAACCCTAGCCCGAACTGTGCTGTGGATCCTGATAGCACCCTCACTAATCACCACCAGAGTTGTCGTCCGGTGCCACTGCTTCCAACTGGTAGCCATGACAACCATGAAGATGCAGGAAGGAGCAACATTAACAAGAACGCTGATAGATGGGAATCTGGCTCTCATTCTAGCACCTTCCTGCAATGCACTGCACGGAGCCGGGTCTGTAGGGTCTGTAAGTATAATAGGCTCACCGTCTGCATTAACCACACCCCGACGGAGAATCGTGCTGGTCGAGACGACCTCAGAAGAAAGCAGAGCTCAGAGAACCCCCGTGGTGGTTCGGCGTTGCGGAGTGAATCCCTCGTGTTACACCTCAGCACCCACAAATCCAGTCAGCCTTGTGCAGGTCCTCTGAAGGACGCGACTTTCAACCTGGGACTGACCGCAACTCTTGCTCGGACTTGAGAGCGCGGCATGCGATATGCTACGACAGACGACAACTGTTCACAGACTGAAGGCTGTCTAACCGTCCAGCCTCGAAGGCTCCTGGCCTCAGAAGCTGGTTTGGTGCCGAATCCCGAAGCAAAGAACCAAACCGCTGAAGTTCGGCTCTGCAGGCCCCGGCAGCAGGGGTGCGAGACTCAAGAGCCCGCGCAGGAGAGGCGCACCACATGCGCGGGCACCTTTTTGGGGGGCCCCGGAGCCGGTGTCTGGTCGAGTAATGGTGACAGCAAACTGTTTCAAGAGCAACAGAGGCTGTGTGGAATCGGGCAGCACAACGCCTGTGAACATGCTTCTCTGTAGCGTTTGGGGTCTCGAGCTTCGTTAGGACTTGGGGTTACCAACCCCGTGCATGCTGTTGTGCCGGCTAGTCCTAAACACTGCCAACCCCCATCGAATTTCAAGTCACACTGAAGGAATCGTTCGGCAAGGAAGGGATTTGTCACGTGGATTGAACGATGCTGAGCGCTGTTCATACATGACATTCCAGAACTATGAAAGCTAAGCATGTGCTGCCGTGTGCAGCCCAGCCACAAGCAGCCACTACCTGGCGAGCAATGGCTTATTCAAGCCTAAACAGCGGATTCATATAGACACATACGAAGATAGGGAGCGAGAGAGGGAGAGAGGAGAAGAGATGGATCCGAGAATAGGTATCGGCACCGATAGTCCGATACGAGCATTGACGAACATACGTCGATATGGACATAGACAGTCCTTTCTGTATGCGACTCGCAGCTTAGTCGAGCAACCTGCAGTGAAGGCCTGCAAATCTTCCTACATAGTCTTACACACACCTGCATCATTATCACCAACTATCCTACATGCTTTAATGATACGGAAGTGCACACCACCACATACAAATCGTACATACACAAACTGAGATACTAGTCGTGACTGTATGTAATAACAGTAATATTCATACAGATATTCATCCTAATAATAATACTCTTTGAAATGCACTTCATGAACAACAATATTGGCAATAAGCACTGATGTATATGGCCTCGGCAGCTCCCCGCTGCACTGGCGCCGGGCCACCCAGGAGCCGACGCAAGGGCCCAAAGAGCGAGGAGGGGAAGGCACCTTATCGAAGTCGAATTCGGGTTTAGGGTTTCGGCGTTAGGGTCGGAGCAGACATTAGATGCCTGGTACGCGCTATACACAGCTCTAAACGCGGTCAAGGCATGCGGAGAGACGGAATAGCCAACAGACAGACGAAGAAACCGATGTCGGTCTGTACAGTGTATCGATTATGCGCAGAGGCTCGTGCAAATGTCTAATTGCTTTCATTTAATTGCACAAGGCTTTGGTTGACCCAAAAGCAATGGGAACGATGACACCGGACAGTTTCGCCCATGATGGTGAGCTGCAGAATCGCAGTTTTGCACCTGATGCCTGAAGCATTGCTTGCCTAGCCCTTTGACCCGAAGGCTTCAAGACGCCAGTAAAAACAACTCAGCACTCCGGGCCTACCAAGCCCTCATCGGCTGCTTGTTCGCGGGCACATGCATAGTCCTTGGCAGCCATTCGCCCACAGGACGGAAGCAAGTGTTCGAGAACTCAGTGCGCACTGGATGTGCTATGATGTACTCAGGCCTTGATAGCCGAACGAAACCGTGCTGGATGGCCAGCAGAGACAACGGCCACAGGTGAGTTTGCCCAAACTGACATCTGATTTCTGCCGCTTGGAAGACTCGCAACAGCCGCACTCTTGATTGCCGCTAGTCTTCGCAATTTGTGCCGCTAGCCAGTTACCGGTGAACGCGTGATTTGATCGATACATAGATGACCTCGTGATCGATGAAGCAAGAGACGACGCGACGCGAACAAGGCAAGATCAGACAAGAAGGAAATATCCAGGAAGGAAAGTGGTCACATAGTTGGGCAGGCAAGTAGGAAGGGAGAGAAAGAAGGGAGGGACGGGAGTGGAGCGAGGGAGGAGGGAGGGACGGGGGGAGGGAAGTCTGGAAGTAGGTAGTTCTCTAGGGCCACCTCCGCAAATCATCATGCAGCCACTGCTGACACTTCGCTTGCCGATTGTAAGCTGACAACATCCGTCTTCATGAAAAAGCTGCTGCCAGGCGTCGTCTGCTGGAGGCTTCTGAAGTCTTCCTGTCTTGGACTGTGGCACCATGTTTTCCTGAGGCAGTGCCGGGCCAGAATACAAGCAACAAAAGAGACATGCAGCACCAAGTCAGCGCTGGGCCATGAGATCACAACCTGAAACAAGGCCTGCTAAGCTATCTGCGAGCAAGCATGGGACACTGCATCAAGTGTCTTCACAATTTTCTTGCTACTCGTCACAATGAAAGCGGAGATTCTACAGTACGACGCTTGATATTGCCGGCAACACCCGCGATGGCTACCCGTTTGCCTAGGAATTCACTTCGGATTCTGCAGGGGCACCTTTCGCTTTCGTTAGAAGGACAATGCAAACAGCAGTCATATCGCAAGAGCCAACCAAAATAGTATGTTCACCTCATCTTTGCCAGAATCGTCAGAGTATGTGCAAATCCTTTCCTCTATGTTCTCTAAGGGGGCTCCCACCTTAGCACCGCGGCGCAGGCGGAGCCGGCGAAGGAAGCCGCGGAGCGGGCCATGGGCCTCCGGAGCTTCGCTGAGAAGGGGCCGGGGCTCTTCTGAGGGGTCCTTGGAGCGAGGAGCAAATGTCCTGAATTTCTGTACTTGCCTTGGAGTCACGACCATGTATTTCGAAGGCTCAACAAGGTGTGTGATGGAGGGAGGGTCTAGCCGCCTCCTCGTTGATAATCGGGATTGGCGGATTGGCTGACTCAACCAATGCGCTGCGGCTTCTTGCAAAGGGACCTGGGGTTTATTCAACTTATGTTGCGGCACGAGTGCGCTTCGTGCAGGAACTACGCAGCTAGGTATCTTTATCCTGCGCAGTATTAAAGACTCCGACGTGGAGTCAGGGAGATGCTATCACCCCTTTTTGTGAATGGTCCTAGAACCAAGTACTAAGTAAATCAAAACCTGACAACCCGTTTGGTAAAACCTCGATGTATGCCGTTCGTGGATTCCGGAACCCGGAGCATCAACAAAATGCTTGGTTCACTCAGATACGGATCTTCCCAGCAAAGAAAGCCTCTCACGCAAATCAGATCCCGGTACTCTTGCTGGCCTTGCAGAGAACGCAGAACGCATAAAGAATCATGAAGAACGCAGCTCACCCCAGCCGTGCCTGTGGTCGCAACAATATTTGCGCTGCCTGGCGCAGCGGTAGCAAGACCTGTGCAACGGGTGGTGTGTTCTATTGATGCTACTTCTATTGTACCCGTCGCGGTGTGCTGGAGAACAGAGGCTCTGAGCCTGAGTAGGTGGCGACAGACTTTGCACCCTCAAGGAGTCTCGTCACAGATTTGACGAGAGCCAACAGACGGACCCCGAAGTGCGCCTCATCCATGCTCTGGACCGGCCGGGAGAGCTCCGTGGTAATCCTCAAGGCACTTCGGACTGACTCACAACCGAGCGGCTGGAGTCTCCACTTCATTAATCCTGTAGTCGCCCTCCAAGGGCTCCTGTGCAGCTTCTGGAAAGTGGCAGAGAGCTCGGCCAGCTCAGAAGCAGGCACCTGGCACACCGAGCTCTCGGTCGAGGAAGGCCGCCATCTCAACCAATAGCACAGGCAAGCTCGGAAGCACACCGTGACGTGCAACAGAGTACACCTGGCTGACGCCATGCAAACCTCCAAATTAATCTCAAAAAGGTTCCGCTACGGACCTGCTCCATCTCCTCCTTGACAGCCTCCGCAGCCTCCTGGACACATGAACTTGACATCGTGGGGGCAATGTCTGACGCCGGTGAAGTAAGCGTAGGTAGCAGGCAGCACATGATCTAGACACCCGCTATGGCAGCTGGTTTGGTTGTCCTCAAGCGGACCAGCACCTCTATACCGATGTAGCACCAGCCCCGACAATCAAACATAGAAAGTGCGGAGCCCTTCGCCTTCACGTCTAATACTCGCTGCTCGGTGAGCTAGCGGCACCAACCAATAAATGCTGGTTTGGAGACGAGCCGACCAGAAATCAACACGGAAACGGACGAGGGAATGGAATTAGGGCACCAGATGCATCCAGGTCTTGCATACACTTACTGTTGTTGTGAAGGCATATTCCACAAGCACTCTGTTAAGATACAATTGAAAGGCCTCGTGCTGAACAATGGCTCAAAATAGCTGTTGAGATGATTCTGCCGGCACACATGGAGATATTGGCGACGAGCGTGCATGCAAAGGTTAAGTGTAGACTGTGCTCATTGGACTCAAGCCTTTTTCATTACCACTGGAAGCTGCTCAGCATGCAAAAGTCAAGAAGGAGTCCTCGCCCATCTGCGCGGGCCTCGCATCAAAAAGATGCTTCTGCTGTCCCAGACTGTCTTTGCTGATCTTCGAGAAGAATCACAGGCAAGCGAAGGCGAACAGCTGCAAGACTCGCATTGGAATGGTATCGAGCAAGCTTGACAACCCCGCTACGCCAAGGTTCACAAGCCTCTCCGCCAGAATTCGTCGCAGTTGTGTCCAGCAACTTTCTGGAACGGCTCCTGGATCGGATGGCTTCTAGTGGGCCAAAGCCACGAGTGAAAGGTTCAGCAGCCGGCCGCTGAATTTCATAACTGGATTTGTGGTTCACTCAAGTGAACTTTGACTTCCGCTCGATGGATCTTCCGATCTTCGGTGCCAGGCCTGGAGACAGGTGCCGGAGCAGCGGCTCCAACCTCCAGCGCCGGGATTGCGTTTCAAGTCGGGGCAGGCACTAAACAAAGTCCTAAGCAAGGTCAAATCATGTTACGTCCAATTGCATATGTTGACGGGCTTCCTTCACCAGCCTTGTGAGCCCAACCTTGCCCGTCTGCTGAAAGGCTCGGCATGAGTGCGCTACATGAGTGGCATCCACACTGTTTTGCCGCTGTGTCAGCTCCGATTGTGCCTGAGCTCGTTTCCTCAAGCACACCGCGCTGCACTTCACAGAAGCTCGAGCAGTGCTTCGCGACACAAAAGACCACGATGCCTGGCACTCGATTCTGACAACTGGAAGGTGCAAAGACTGCAGGCGGAAAGACAACAACACATGGTGTCCAAACTGTTATCGGACAACTCTTCGGTCACACCTTCCAGCTGGGTATTGAGGGACACCCACCCCTGCCGATCGCAGCGAACATCTGCGATGAATGGCACGCAGCTGCATCCCTTCAGCAACCGTGATTTGAATAATTATCCGCATGGGGTGTCAAGGAGTGCTGATAGAGTGTGTGGGTTACCGGTTACCAATCTTGCAGGGGACGGGATTCTCAGACTCGCTAGTTGACTTGTCTCTGACACCCCAAGAGTGCGGAGTCCTGGCGATGGCGATGGAGGCTGCATGGAAGCGGCCCCAGCAGAGGCCCAAAGTGCAGACTCCGAGCTCCGAGGCTGTGCGGCTTCCAGGCCGTCCGCCAAGGCTCAAACTCAGAACTACCGAAACGAAGTATCTGTACAGCCAGACCCCCCATGTGCACAGCACATGCACTGCTGCGCCATCAACCGAGAAGCTGTTGGAAGAAGCCCGGATCCTGCTGTGGGCTAAGTGATAGAAGACAATTCTTCAACAAAACAAACTCTGGCCACTAGCCCTTGCCAACCACTGCCACTGCGGCGCTTGCTGTGGAGGGGTCTCGTGCTCTCTGAGGCCGCCAGGCCACTGACAGCAGCTGTCTACAACAGCCTTCGAGAATGTACGAGCTTGGGATGCCAACTGTGTCAGGATGATTGAGATCTCAGGTGGTACTGACCATTGTACTTATACAAGACTATGCGAGGACTAGCTTGTACTAATGTCGGTCAATGTTCTTGCGGATGCCGCCGCACAGCTGCTGACCAGTGCACCGTGACCCAACTCGCTGTCCAGGGCTGGACGGACGTGGCTGCTGATCTGGTTGCATCTGTGGGCGAAACCTGCGTATGTTCAGCCCGAAAACGAGAGACACTCTGCACACTCTGTGTAACATAGCTCGGTGACAGTTGCTCGACGTTGACAGAGCCTGTTCAGCGGTGGGAAATTGTTGGATAGTGCAAGTCTACTATGAAGCTTCAGAATATGTCGTAATGGCCACCATCAAGGCTGTGGAGTCTAAAGCTTACTCGAGGCAGAAGCAGAATTGTTTAAATCTGTTGTCCAAACCTCTCGCTACTGATAAACGGAGGTAGTGCAACTGACACTGAGCCGAAGCGGCTTCAACATCGCAGGCCTCACTCCGTGTGGAAGCCGCACAACTAACTGCCTGCAATCGAGCGATTGCGTGCTCTCAAGCCTCAAGACGTCCTTCTTCCGACTCTGAGAAAAAGCCCAAGCTTCACTTGGCCGGCTCTGGTCGACACGCTTCTTTTACCCGCTTGGCCTTTCCATGACATGGCATTGGAGTGAGGGTTCAGGGTTTAGATAGGTCTAGGGATCAGGATGCGTTAGAAGAAGGTGCTTTGCGAAGTGAGTCCCTTGATGCCGCCGCTCCAAGGTGGACCTACACAGACCTACTTCCTGTGCACACGGGAGTAACTTGGGGCTACCATTCCCAGGGCCTTTTGGGCAGCCCCTCTGCGCTGTGCTCTTGAAATCCGATCTGTTGCCTAGGGACTCTATATGGCATGGTCGGATGAGGAGGCAGTGGCTGAGGGTCCTATATGGTTATATGGTTGTAGCTCCCCGGTTTGGTAAACAGACTCTTTGGGCACAGCGCAGCTGTGTCGGTCAGCTCGCCCCGAGAGCAACTTTACCAAAACCCTAAAAAATGCTTCAGCATCAGGAGCATCACACCCTGCAAAGGTGCAGCTCATTCCTGGGTGTCACAAGGCGTTTTGCGCTGGATCGAAATCGATAGGGCAGAAGGCGAGGGCATTCTACGCGCTGAGAAATCACATGACTGCCTGTGTACTGTGCATGATGGTGTGCACAATGTCCAGTCAATTCGGTGCAACTGCCTGCATCGTCTGCATAGTGGCTTCTGTTTCGGATGCAACCCATCAACCCACTCCGCTTCTCGGGGCCCTCCGAGCGGACCCCGAGGAGCCAAGTGGCCCAGGAGTGGCTGTTGAGCGCCGCATGGAGCTGGCTGCTGAGCTGGCTGTTGGCCATCTCGAGGTGGACCACCTCGGTGAAATATCAGGGACACTTGAACCGTAGTCCTCAGCAGGCCGCTTCTTACAGTTTAGTAGCTCCCAAAGAAGGTTCAAGACCCCACCCCACAACCCGAAAGCACTAACGGAGACTACTAAGAGCCAACTTAGCACGCCGTCGAGTCGATGAAGCCTTCAAATTCATGGGGGGGGACAATTCCAAATCCTAATCCCGCCAGATCTGCAGAGCTTCAGTTCGTTTAGGGCTTTCGACAGTGGCGCCTGCCTGCATTGTCGAGGCCTCGAGCCACATGGTTTGAGGACTCCTAATGACCGCACTATTGTGCCGAACAGGTTGAGAACCGATTGCCGGGGAAAGCTGTAGCGCAAGGGACACCAACCAACAAAGAAACTGTGGCCGGAAAGAATGGACCCATTTTGCAGAACCGTTCCCCGGGCATCCGGGCTCGCTCCTCGAGGCTGGCGATCCGGGCAGCCGAACCTCAGCTTGTCGTGGCTTACAGACTGAGCGCAAGAAGCAAGAGAAGGAGAGGGCTTCCGGTCCGTTTAGGGGTGGTTCATGATCGCCCCCAGACTCCTGGCAGTCAGCTCCATTCGGATGGGTGCACACGTTCATCGTGGCCATGCGCAACACAACAGCACCTAACACTACTCGAATAAAAATCGCCACCAACATCATGACGGAGCATGGCCATAAAAGCTGTCGATGCAATGTAGCGAAGCGACAGCGAACGACGAGAGTCATAGATGTACATACTGTACATGCGCAGCAATAAGTCTTTGCAGCTGAGTCTCTCATGGCATGATCCTCAGCCGTCCAGGGTGGGAGTCTCGCAGACTCAATCCCAGCTCCGGAATAATCCGAATCACACCAGAAGTAACGACTCTGTCCTTTCATCACTCACTCACTCTTTCACTCGTAGGGGGCAAGTGCTTGCCCAGCAGCCATGAGCCACCGGAGGAGATCACCAGAGTCTGCCGGCAGGCAGGAGTAGGCGACGGGCAGCCCATGCAGCTCCTCGCTGAAGTCTTCTTACGGGCTTTGCCAGCCAGTACAGGCTTCAGCTTTCAATGGGCTCGGCTCTTCTGAAATCCGAATCCTGACATCCCCATCTACTCGAGCCGAGCCTGGCCAGCAAGGGAAATGGGCACGGCCGCCATCAGGGGGCTGTGCACCACCTGCGGCTCCTGTCGCAACGAAGTAATTGCGTTGTTCTTTGCTGAAATCGTACATTGAGCGGCAAATCAACACGAAATGAAAGTGGAATCACTGCATCAACGTTTAAGAATGAGAACTGAGACATGCCCTTGTCGAGACATGCATCGCAAGCTTTGACAGAAAGTGACTACTGATGCTGCAGAGGCTCCGCGTCATTTGCAATCACATTTCTGGCCTTCCGGGTCAGCTTCTACCAATGTTGACTTTAGAGTTGTCCCTCCTGAGTCGCGTCGTGCTCCCACAACTCCGGCGTGGCTGTTCCACTCCGGACCTGTTCAAAAATGAGGTCGCTGGTGGAGGTTCAAGCGCCAAGGATCATAAACAAGAACGCATTCCACAAAAGGTCAAGGCTGAAGGACACTGGAAAGGACGAGGGGCAAATTTAACACTACGTTTGTTCTGTCCATAGTGCACTGCAGCGACCGGACACCGCAACTCCGCTCGAAACTCAGAAACCGCTGCTGCCATATTTCACAGTCGATGTAGCAGCTATGTATCCCAGTGAGCTTCTGCAAAGACCTTCCCTGATAACATACCTAAAAAGTACAGCGCTTCCACTCAAGACTGCGCAACTTCCCACCTTGTGGGGCTCGTCTGCAAGGAGGCGTGGGGGCGCAGAGTTCTCACGCCTTCTCGCCAGAGTTGGGGGCTCGGCATTGTAGACAGGCATGAAGTCGCAGGAGATTGTCGAGTCGAGTTACTGGAGCTAAAGATCACAGATTTTGGAAACAGTGCTGCTTTAAAGGCCCTGCCGCTGTATCCCCACAGCCGAAGCATCAAGTTGACCGAAGGCTGAGCCCAAACCGCATGATCAGCACACCACATTTAGAATTGTCTTCCCCTCCCCGAAGCGCTGCCTTGCTGCGCCCGAGCCCTCGGGGGCTACGGAGAGAAACCTCCGCCAAAGGCTTTGTGGCGTCGGATGTGGGGCTCCAGGCGAGGACTGGACCCTGATAAAGTTTCTGAAAGTTTCGGAGTAAGGCCTTCCTTTGTAAGGCCTTCCATGAGCTCCCTGCTGCAGGCAGGGCTTGCAGGGCGAGCGCCCTTCATGTCCTCACATCCGGCGACACGTGCCGAGGGGCGTGTTTTCCGCGACCAGCGCGACGTCCGTCTCCTGACTGGGCCATGACTCGCGGTTTCTTCACGACGAAGACCTGGAGCAATCTTCGCAGACGAGTCTCCTGCAGCAGCTTCTCCAGGCGCAGGGCATGCACTTGCCACCTCGCTGCCGAAGGACGTGATCGATTCCAGACAGGCTCTGGTTTTAAGCCTTTCAATCCACCGTCAAATGCAGGGAACTAGCCCCGCAAAGCCCAGGACACGAAGCCTTCACTAAGCCCCCCTCGGCTCACTCTCCAAACTGAGGCTCTGGCGGCGTGGACTTCTGTCCCATGTCCGGAGCTTTCGGCGAGGCCTCTGGGACTCAACAGCTGCCATTCCTAAATCGCCATGTCCATTGCACGTCTGCCAATCTTTCAACTCTCTTGGATCGTCAGACCACAAACCATGACCGCATTCCCTCAAACAACAGGAGGAGGGATGTTGCGCGACGTTCGTTATCATTCTCGTTACGACGACACATCGTGCGAGGTGGAGAATACTCTTGGAAAGAGTGCTTGCTTTGGGCGGCTAGTTCCTAGTTGTGGTCGGAGTGGCCGTCATCTCCGGAGCCAAGAACTCAAATCCCTTGCCGGGGCCCCGGCGCCAGCGTCTGAGCCGCTGGCCTCAGCCTCCGGGGACGCCGCACGATCCTTGCGCCTCGAGATCGCGAAAGGCGAACGGTCTCGGCGGCCGTGAGGGGCAGCGCTGTGCACATGAAGCTCAGGCTGCGGCCTGGGCTTGCGGCTCTTGGCCGGCAGCGAGGTCGCGCGGGGTTGCGACGAAGCCAGGAGAACTGCAATGGCCTCGGAGAGGGGACGGCAGGGAAGGAATGAAAGCTGCTTTCTACAAGTTTTCGGAGGCAGGTAGGCACAAACTGGTGCAGGCCAAGAGGCTCCTGGAACATCGGGGAAGAGGGGCGCTTTCTGCTCCGACGAGTCCTGCGCACAGGTGCAACCGAAGGAATCATGAACCTGGTAACCCTGGTAAAGCACTTGCATCTGCTGCAACAGCTTCCGAAAGCAACTTGTCTACGCCTACCATGCGGATGCTAACAGCTTGCTACCTTGCGAATCACAGAATGGAAACAACTCGCGCAATGGCTCCCGGCGAGTTTTCGAACTCTGAGCACGGCTGACCTGCAATTCTTAGCAAGGGGTCACACTGTTCTGGACAGGTTAAGTGTCAATCATCCACTCGGACAGTGCAACTTCGGAGCAGCCTTTCAACTTGGGCCCGGAACTTATCTTGCGTTGTTTGTTTTGTTTAGTCTTCTTGGTGGGGCTGCGCCTGCAGACACTAAAACTCTAACATCCTGTTGGCATGGGGCACAGGTCTGGATTCACTTTGCCCACCTTGTTGCGGCGCCTTGGAGCAGCGGGCGCTGCGTCTGTCCGCGCCATTAGGCCAAGCAATCGGTGGATCTGTGGGGCCGAGCTCTGGTAGTGGACCTTCTGATGTGGTGGCGAGCCTTCCGTGGCCTATCGAAACCCTCGTGAATCACTTGTTCTCTCCTTGCCTGAAGCCCAAAACCTGCCTGACAATGCAGCTGCATTGTCGCAATAATTTCCTAATAACTTAATTAGTTTTGGTGTAGCGCGATGCTCCCAAAAGGATCTCCTTGAAACCTATGTACAGCTGCGGAACGCTTTTTCTGCACAGGCTCGCATCAACTTTCAAGTCTCAGTGTGCAGATTTCAGAAACAGAAGATCACGAGCACCGCGGCCCACAGCTGTCATTTCATCCCTTCCACACCATGCATTAGCTTCTCTCACCAGCATCATATGGAGCGACAACATTTGCAGTAGCTAGAAGAACCTCTGTACTTTGATCCGGCCAAAAGATGGATCTACTTTCCATTGTCATGCGTGTTCCTGAACCCGAAACCCATGCTGCGATCCGCTTTAGAGCGAAAGGAGACCACCAGGGCCCCAGCGCACGGCGCAATGCTGGAAGGGCACTGCCGAGTCGCCCAGCCGATGCGGCTCTGGCAAGCGGTGCAGGGCTTAAAGCTTGGTCGGATGAGAACTGTGCACTGCAGAGGGGCAGTCGGTGACTGGAGCGCTGCGTCCGGTCTGCCGGTCTGCCGAGATCCCGGGCGACAAAGAAAACGCTGACACAAGGCGCTGAACTCAGTCAAGGTGCGTAGCATTTGATTGATTCTTCCCTAGATCAGGGGCAAGCGTTTAGCCAAGCGGCTCGGCGACCATCGGCCTCGCGATTCATCTGACTCGTAAGCTTTGTTGGGATCTCGGACTCTCTATGTCTCCCCACAGTAGGCCTTGGGGCCACAATCAGGTCGTCGTCAGAATCACACTCCTTCACCTTCCTCCGAAGCACCTCTCACGCCTTCATACGCCTTGCCGATGAAGAGGTGAAGAAAAGGTATATGAAGGTATGCAGGGGAGAAGCGCCCAAGGAAACTGCGCCACTCGGAATCCCGGACAGCCAAGTGCCCCGGCAGAGAAGGAAGGTCCAAGTCTTTGAGGTGCCGGTCGGTAGAGACGAGCTCCTGGAGCCAAATCTTGTGCCGCATCCGCAAGCTGCGCTGCGTGCTTGGGTCTGCTTCTGCGCCCTTCCGCAACATGTCCCGTAAGAATAACCTGGCCCCACGTTGAATGAGACAACCCTCGTTAAGTTGGATTGCCCGGTGCTGATTCCGACACTGCCACTTTTACTGGGGCGTCCTCTATCACTTTTTATTTAGGAAACGATGCTGTAGGCTTGGTTTCCTCTTCCTCCTCCTCCGCCTACTACTACTGCTACGACGACGACGACGACGACTACTACTACTACTACTACGACACCCTACCACTACTACTCCCACTACTACCCACTACCACTTCTACGTCCACCACCACCACCACCACCACGGCCACTACCAGTACCACTACGACTACTACAACTACAACTACAACTACAACTACAACTACTACTACTACTACTACTACTACTACTACTACTACTACTACTACTACTACTACTGCTCCTGCTCCTGCTCCTGCTCCTGCTCCTGCTCCTGCTCCTGCTCCTGCTCCTGCTCCTGCTCCTGCTCCTGCTCCTGCTCTGCTCCTGCTCCTGCTCCTGCTCCTGCTCCTGCTCCTGCTCCTGCTCCTGCTCCTGCTCCTGCTCCTGCTCCTCCTGCTGCTGCTGCTGCTGCTACTGCCACTGCCACTGCCACTGCTACTGCTACTGCTACTGCTACTGCTACTACTGCTACTACTACGACGTCGACTATTCGTCCTGCTACTGAGTAGTACTACCACCACCAGCACCACCAGTACCGATACCAACACCAATGCCAATACCAGTACCAACACCAATACTCATACTACTACTGATACTTAAACCATACTACTCTCACTAAAATCCCAGTGCGACTCTGAAATATCTAATACAAATACTGTTACTCATACCCAACACGAATACTAGTACAGTACTCGCACTATTCCTGTACTCTTCTTCAGCAGCTGCTAAGTCCAAGTTAGGACTGTGCTGTACTACTTAATCCGCACTATCTAACGGACCCCTCCCTCACCGTCCCCCAATATTCGCAGAATGCCAGTTGGGGCACACATTAGTGGATCGACCCCACGCACCTCTTGCCAACCACAGCCACAGCATGTGCCCGTAAATCGAGATGTTCACGTGATAGGTTTTGCAAGCACTTTTCACGAGATCCTCGACGAAGCTTTGCAGGAGCTCTGCCGTCTTTGTGCTGCTGACTCCTCCCCAAGAGAAAATGGACGAGACAACAGCTACTCCGAACACATCTCAGGACACTGCAGTGGGTGACAATCTTTGCATTTTGGCTTCGACATCTGTGCCTGACAGCATGAACAGAATGAGGGACTGACTTACGCCCAAGCCGAAGCAGAGAGGTGATCGCATTGCGACAGGAAGCTTGCATCGCATGCGGGCTGCCTGATCGCAAGATCTGAAGGCAGTCTTGCCAGGAAAGGTGGCTGCTCATTCCCTTCCCCTCGCACCCCGCAACCCACAATGCTGGCTTCCAAAGTGGTTTGCGAAGTGTGAGCTCGATCCTGGTGATGGGGTCAGCAGCTGGCTGAGGAGGAAGTCCACGGCGCCTTGGGCTGTGGCTCTGTCGTTTTGAGCTGTGTTGAAGAAGCAGTGCACACCGAGTTTCAAGTTCAGTAAACCCAGATCTGCAGTCATCCAACTTCCCAGCAAGAGGATAATTTCCAGAACGCTCTTCAGTTCATTGGGCATGAAAAAAACTCGGCCCCGAGACTAATCAGTCAAATTCTATGAAAATCCACCCTGCCCTGCAGTTCCAGATTCTGCCCTGAGCGAGTGGGTAACTTTTTGGTCTGCAGCGAAACGATGCAGGTCGAGCGATGACGAATCATGCTTCATTCAGACTGGTGAACAAGGCCTCATGAATAGGAAGGTCATGCCGTTTGGCATCACCACCAAGCTCTCAATCCACTCGCCGTCGCTGCAAGAGATAACTTCCTGGGCACAAACGGAAGTTGCAAAAATCTGTTTCATCAGAGTTTTGAGATTTCTTGCATTGCCCACCTCTACACTCAACGCACAGGCTGTGCAAACCCCGAAGCGGCACACACCGGAGGTGGGAGCCACGCGGCGTTGTCCGCGCTGGACGTGCCAAAGATCTTGGAGATCCGGAGCTCCTTCTTGTCCTGGCGCTTGGTTTCCGTTTGGGACAAGAATGGCTCCTCGCCGCAACCGGAGACCTACTCGATAGGCATTGCAGGAGCAGATTGGTGGTAAGAACTCCATTTTGCCTCTCAGCAAGGAATCCAACACAGTTGGTTGCAACACATCCGAAGTAGGGGTCACTGATACTGAACGGCTGTGACAACTCGCCTGCTGAACTCATCCCCGAAGCTTATCCCACATGCCTGTCGGCCTCAAACCACGACGATAAAACTGCGTGGGGTGGTGTACGTGTGTGAATCCCCGGCCACTCTCAGGTTAAGAATTGTGGGCTGTCGGAATTGCGCTCTCGGCAGTAAGGTGGCTTTCATGGAGGCACTTTCCGCATGTTTCTACCCGATTACAGGGTGCCCATGTTGAGTCCTCGACGGCAGTTTGCAAACAGCTTCTGTTTATCTTTCTGTGGACATGAAAGGGCTCAAAATCGCGCACCGGGCCTTGGCTAAATAGGTGACGACGCCGTTCAGGCAGTGGAAGGCGTTCATTGCATAGCCGGCCTTGTCACCATCCTTGGATGCAGAGACCAACAAACCCGAGAGGTTATCGTCACTACTGCCAGCAGAAGCAGCCGAAGGAGTCGGAGCAGCAGTTCGAGGAGGAGGAGGAGGAGGAGCAGGAGAACGACGTGCGTGCGCAACAAGTACAAGTACCGGTACCAGTCACAGCCCTAGTAACAGTATTCACTCCAGAAAAGGAACTTGTACTCGTGCTATCGTAGCACTCGTAATAGCACTAGTACTAGTACAACAACAACAACAACAACAACAACAACAACAACAACAACAACAACAACAACAACAACAACAACAACACCAACAGCAACAGCAACAGCAACAGCAACAGCAACAGCAACAGCAACAGCAACAGCAACAGCAACAACAGCAGTGGCAACAACAACAGCAGTAGCAACAACAACAACCACAACCACAACCACAACAACAACCACAACCACAACCACAACCACAACCACAACCACAACCACAACCACAACCACAACCACAGCGACAACAACAACCACAACAACCACAACAACAGCAGCAGCAGCAACCACTAACACTCCAAAGCTACCTTTACCGGTACTATACCAGCTGCTACAATGTATCCCCACCCCAACTACGGGAGAAAGAAAAGACACCGAATCTATCTGAACTCTGAAGCTTAGTCATGCCTCCTGCTACATCGTCAGTACATCTTCGGCCCAGGAGCTGGCGATGGGATCCTGACCTGAGGCTAAGGGCTGGTGTCGACCGGGCAAACTGCAAGGAAGCAAGAAGGAAACTGGAAACATCACACCCCGAAGTCAGCACACAGCTACGATACAAGACTCTTGTGCTACGGTGGTGGGGTTTGCCGGAAAACGGCAAAGTGGCACAGTGTGTTGTCTCGGAGTTCGCTGTTTCTGGTGAGGTACTTGAGCAAGGGTTGCTACGTGTGACATGGTGCTGCTCAGATGCAGGTCTGAACAGCCGCCAGGCCCATCTCAAAACAACACTTCGGTCTACGGATACGATGAAGTACAGCTGCACCTGGCTGCCCTGCCGCTCTGTATGTGTTTCGAGCTGCAATGTACGGGCCGGGCCCCAAACCGACTCCCACGGCTGCGTCTTGTCTCCCGGCGTGTGGTCCTTGGTACCCGTAGCGGCTAGGACATTCCCCCAAGCCTGTCATGAATGCATGTAAAGTTCCAGTGCAGTAGCAGTACCAGAAATAGCAGCTGTAATCGCAGTGCAGTAACAGTAGCAGTCGCCTCAGCAGTAGTAGCACTAGTAGTAAATAGTAGTACATGTAGAAGCAGAAGTAGAAGTAGCAGTAGGGGTAGCAGTAGTACTACTAGTACTAGTACTAGTACTAGTAGTAGCAGCAGCAATCGCAGCAGCTGTTGTTGTTCTTGCTGCTGCCGCCCTCGTCGTCGTGGTCTCCTGTCTTCTAGATACTGTTGAAGTCTCGTGATCGTCGTCGCATGTGTCGTCGTCGTAGTAGTAGTAGTAGGAGATGCAGCAGTATCAGCCGTCGTCGCAGTTGTAGCAACACCAGTGAATGTTTACGATGGGTTAGTGCCGTACAGGCTCGTCTCCCGGCGGCCGAATGCTGTCGACCACAGCCGCGCCAGGGGCCGTCATTGCAAACTGCAAACCTCTTGCGGACACCACCCATCTACTTAGCGGAGAGGAACAGCATCCCTCCTAACTCCTCCTAAGCATGCAGAAACTCAAGATGCAACACACAGCGTGCCAGAGGTGCCGGGTGCATCGGCAGGACCGACGACAAAGAAGGATGCATCCTGTGTGCACAGCATATCCTTTGAGAAATGAGTGTCGACCGTGTCGCCAGCACGATCTCGTTTGCCCTGCACCCTTTATGCAGCCGTCCTGACCGCTGGCGACCAGAACCTCAAGTGCGATGGGGCAAGCAGGAAGCACTTGCTACATCGCTACAGGGGCTACTGCCTGAGGCTGGCATTTCGACTGGCGCTTGCGCCACACAGTCCAGGTCCACGCAATAAGGATGCGAAAGTTTTGCAAAATCTCGGTTTGTTCATCATGAAGCCGCTGCTTATGTGTGACCCTGAAGCTGGTTTAAGTTTAAGGCGGAGACTGGACAGCTTGGGATTGCAAGTCTGTCCAAACCTGGAGATATGGCTCCGACAGAAGCCTTGGCACCTTTGCTAACCTACTCTCTACATGCCTCCATCCCAGATTGACGCACATCGCTATGTCCACCTCCCCTGGGGCCCCGCACCCCGAGTGCGCTGTCGTGGCTTAAGCTGCACCCGAGCCCGACCTCGGGTTCCAAAACTTCAGCACCGTGATCGAAATCGTCGATGCAAAATGAGGCCGCAAAGCGCATGAAGTTGGAACAACACTTATTTATATCTTATTGCATCCCTGGCAAACTGAACTTATGCTCTGGGCGCGCGGCTGCCTGTGACTTGATGCAACCTTTGGGCCGCATGTCAGCCTCTGCCTGTACGCATGTGCGCGCGCATCTGCAAAGGCAGGATAGTACACATGCAGGCATGTTCGTTTGTGTGAATAGGCTCTGAATAGGCTCGTACACATGTTCGGACGGATGCATGCATGTATGTATATGTATGTGTAAATGAATATGAATATGTAATGTACATTTATAGAGGGCAGGTGGGGGGGGGAGTGAGGGTGTGGGGGTGTCGCGGTGTTAGGAGCAACCTTCGGCACCACCGAGCTCTGCACGGGTTGGGTGGTGTGAGGCGGTTGGGGGGTTGGGTGGCTTGTGGGGTGGGTGGGCAGGTGTGTGCTGCAAATTCTCGGAAGGCCTGTGCTTCGGCGTTGGTCAAGTCGCACTCGTCTCCAAGAGCCACGATGTCCTGGCTTTTTCGGGCAGGGGTCCATGGCTTCGAGTTTCATTCAGACCAAGGCAGCCCGACTAGATACACTACAACTGCGCACTTCCCCCATGATGGACGTCGACAGGAATCGCACTGCAGGGCTCAGCACGATTGCCCCGGACAGCTTCCGGAAACCTACCCAGCTCAAGTCCGTGCCGTCCCTTGGTTTGAAGCTCTGCCCTTATCCAACGAGGCGGGGCGACTTGGCCATCGTAGCATGTCGACAAGAACAACTTTCCAGTGCTGGGCTCGGCCACGATGTCCCAAAGATCATAAAAAGCTCCCCAGCGCAGAATCTGTTGGCGTTGGGTGTCTGTGGGGCTCGGAGAAGAATTGTCGGCTCTACGACAATTTGTCCGGGTGCGGCTTTGCAGAGATGGCTTTCACGGATGTGACGTGACGGGAATCCGTGCAAGGTGCCGCTGTGCTCGGTTCAACAAAAACTGCTACTGGGAATAGCAACCCAAACTTGGTTCGGCAATACTCCGTCTTTCATTTCAGCCCTCGCACATCCGATCCTCACGGGTTCGAATCGTCATTACGAAACTCCAAACTGTGAACTAAGACTAAGGCTTATAGAACAAGTCTGCGTCCCAGGTTCAGCTGCTCAGGCTTCGAATCACATTCTCTTGGCCTCCGCCTCTCAGCTAAATGTCCCACGCCTAATACTGACTGTACCATGAGCTACCATGAACAGAAAGGACTTTGGAAAGAGCAACGAGCCAATGTTGCAGTTGTGGCCAAAAAACGACATATGGTAACAAAACAGAGAGGTACAACAACCTCATGATTCCTTTCTGCTCGATTTGAAACGCCACCTTGGTTTGACACCTGTGCAGGGAATCATGACAATCAACCCCAGTCAACAGCCCAGACGAGCTCACGCCAATGCCTCGAACAGCCAAGGAAAATTGAACAGCAGCCCGAGAAGCTGAAACGAAGCTTAACCGCCATGCCATGCATGTCCGAAGTAAGAGATGACTGGATCCAAAATTCAAACCTCTTGAGAAATGGCCCAGCCTC